TTAGCAAGACTTTGGGGGAGTCTTGATTTTTTTCCATCTGTATAGTGAGCTGGAAGCTTGGCCCTCTGTGTCAGCCGAATATGAGGGGCTTCCAAACATTGTGGGAAAGTGTGGTGAGAAGGCGATGGAAAGTTTGCACACGCTTTCTGAAGCCCTCTCATATAGTTGCGGTTGGCTTGAGACAAAGCCAATACCTCTCCCGGGTCCTCTCCACTGCGACGTCTGAATGGCATCCTGAGGCCGGCTTTCCCCATGCATTACACTGATCGCCTTTCACTAGGCCTCTTCACTAGGGGACTTCTGCGGTTTCCATGTTTACAGGTGAGTTTGTTTACTTGCTTCAGCTGCAAGCCCAGGACGTGCAAGCCCCAAGACTCGGTCCAAGGCTCTCTGGCTATACAGTTCCTTCCTTCTGCCTTGGCACAGAGATGCTGCCAGCTCCTGTTCCCATGTATAGACATGCCATCTTTGGGGCCTAAAATCAAACTCGTTGCTGTTGAGTTGATTCTGCTGATGGCCACCCTATAGGATGGAGCAGAACTGCCCCGGAGGGCTTCCCAGACTCTCCCTCTTTGTGGAAGCAGACTGCCACACCTTCCTCCCATGGAGCGCCTGAGCGTGGAACCACTTGTGTCAACAGGGCTAAAGGCCCCTCCCCGCTTCATCATGCAGCCCTTCCTGCCTTCCTTCCGGCTGAGGAGAGAAGCTGGGGGAGTTGCCCAGTCACTGCTCGCTGTCTGCCGGTCCCAGGCCCTGCTCAGGCCACGGAGTCACAGGCCATCTGCCAGGCCGATAGGGCACCAGGCTGTACTCAGCCAGCACTGCTGGGCAGCAGGACCTAATTTCACCCAATCTGCTCGCGTTGTAGACTCATGCCTGTAATGGGATGGGGAAAAGGGCCAAATGACACAGATCCATGTGTTACTACCTTTCTCCACTTCCTCATGAGGCTCCGTAGCACAGCTACAGCCCCTGTCCTGAGCACCTGTCCAGGTCCACCCCGACTGTGGGCTGCAAAATGTCCCCCACCCCTGGAAGCCATGCACAGCGACTCAGCTCTCCCTGGGCCTCCCTCGTGGGAACCCGAGAACCTGCAGTCCACACAGCTATTTGCTAAGCCACCTACAGCGGCCAACCCTGACCCACACTGCTTACAGTGCTAGTCCTGCTGGGGGAAGGCTGGGTGGCTGCTTCTGGATGCTCTGAGGTTAGCCTTGGGATTGGAGACCCACAAGGCAGGCTCCCTGCCCTGTGTCACCCAGAACACACAATCAAGCCATTTAAAACCTGCTGTTGCTGTTGCTGCCCTCTGCTGCCCACATCTGGACTCTCCACCACCATCAACGCAGCCCTCACCCAGAGTCTGAGCTACTTGGCCAGTTACCAAATGGGTCTGGGCCCATGGCTTAAGCTCTCTGAGCCTGTTTCCTTGTCTAAAGCAGAGACAGACCCTAGTGGGCCTTCAGGAAGTGCTCCTTTTTACTGTAACTGTGCCTCTCATACTGTTCTTTGGAGGACGGGATGGGGGCTTTAAAAAGTTCATACAGAATCAGCCTGTGTGATCATGAGGTGCTGAAGGGATCAGCTATCAGGCATCAAAGAACAAAAAATCATATCATCGTGTGCTCATCTTCCCGATATGATCGCTGAAGACAAATGGGTGCGTAAGCAAAAGTGGTGAAGAAAGCTGATGGTG